ACTATTTAAAAAATTTCATTTTAATCTAATTTCATTTTAATCTGTCACATTTATGAATCAATTGACATAGTAACATTAAGATATTTTAAATAAAACTTAGGATTTGGATAGTGATAGATTATCGCAAGTTGATAAATTAATGTTTAATACTTAGATAAATGAAAACGATATATTAAATTTGGAAGAAAACCAACAACTGAAAAGAGGCATACGAATAATTATTTTAAAATCTCAAAAAAAAAGGAGAATAATAAAGTAAGAGATTTAAAAGTTGTCAAGAAGTATAGTAGATATTTTAAGAACTAATTTTTTTATTTTTTACTAAACTGATGATTAACAAAGAATGCTTCAAAATATCCACATGTTAGTGAGAATCAGGAGGTAACAAAGATTTTCAATAATATCAATTATAAACATAATTAATTACCGAAACCACAGCAAAGAGAGAATGACAATAATAACTTTGAAAATAACAAGGAAACTAATAAACAATTGCCTGATTTGCAAGCTATTAGCACCGATGATCAATTTTTAATTAACAATATAAACCAGTCTGATAATGAATGTATTAATGACAATCAAGTAAGATAAAGAATTTGAAAGTTTTTGTAATTAAGTTAATCTGAAAATCTAAAATATCATTTATAAATCACAAATTTTAGCAAGATAAAAATAACGGAAAAATGGATAAATCTATACCCAATGACCAGCAATCAATCAATATTATCTCTGGAATGCTTAAACAAATGACCCTAGCAAACAATAGTACACAAGCCGATGACATTGGATCTATTCAAGATAATGATAATGTAAGAATTTTCAGTAATCGATTAATAAATTTAAAAAATAAATTTATTAATATACATTATTGACATCAAAAATTTGTAGGAAGAAGACTTGGATGTAAGTGATGATATTTCACCAGGATGTTTAGAATGTGAAGATTGCTATAGAAATAAAAGGAAATGTGCGCATATTGTGGTTGTTCTGTATGCTCATGGAAAGGTGACAGAGGTCACATCCTTTTGTGTGAGGTTCCTTGTGGCAAAAATTTTCATACTAGTTGTTTAATCCTCCGCCCACAAGAATTCTCTCCAGAAATTGGTACTGTGAGTGTGAAAGTGGGAATTGAAATGTAAAATACGAATTGAATATTCAAGTTTAGATGAAATTGATAATAAAAGTGCAAAAAAAAACAAAAGATTGAAATCAAAAAGTGTTAAAAAAATATAAGGCACAACAGAGACAGTCAAAATATAAGGAAAATTTTAAAAAAAAAGACAATGAATCACAATAAAAAATGTGAGACTTCATCAGATCCTTTAAGTATTATTGTTTTGGTATATAATTTAAATTTTTTTTTTTACTTATAAGAGAATATGTAAAAATTGCAAAAAAATCAACTTCACATAATGATAGTTCTATCGATGATTTTATTGAAAATATTCCTGTTGTTGTTATAGAAAAGGATGAACCCTTTAATAATAGACAGGTAAACTCTACTATGATAACAAAATTTCACTAGTCTATATTATATATTTTGTTATTTTTAAAAGCAAATAAATGAAACAGAGGATATGCCAGTAACCCAATCAGATACAAATAAGGTACGCATTCATAATCAAGTTTTGACAGATTTAAAAATAAATTTCAAGATTGTAATTAAAGTTATCATATTACAAAGGAGTCATTCACACAACTCAATAGTTCAATTTCTCAAAGTTCAACCTCTCTTCACTCAGTATAATACTTTAGATGAAGATATTCAATCTTTACAAGTATGCCAAGTTTTATTAAGGGATTTGTTTAATTTATATGTATTATATCTGCTTATAGTAATACTATACTAATATAGCTTAGTTTAGACATGTAAGTCTTATACTTTTATATATGGGACCCCGCACAGCAAAACAGTGCATTGGGACAATCATGTGATTTTGAGAAAATCACAATTGAAAATCATCACGT